TATTTTAGAATAAGAGGAGTTACAAAATATGCTGCGAAAGCAAACAAATGTACACCAAATCAATTCTGTATTCGAAATTGTTCCAGCGGTATGAGGATATTAAAAGGATCCAGCTAACCCTTAGCGATTGCCAAGCTATTCCCAAAGCACATGACATCAGTGTGAATGTGTGCGGTCCGAACACTAAGTAGCAAATTGTAAACCCTTTGTTTCGAAAATATGTATGAAATCATCATGATACCCAATGTCAGTAGGTACCCATGTACAGGGTTGCCCATATTCGACGGACCCATGGGCCCATTCCAATCGACGAGGCTTGTCCGCAGGCAACATTCTTTGCGTCAATTGAATTTTGTACGGAAAAGTTCTTGGGGACCTCTCAACACTGGCTCGTACGGCAGCGATATTCTCGGCCGATCGCCTTGGTCGACTTTTATATGGCCTCTTCGGATTAGAAAGAGCCTTACCAGTCGAAAATTTTTCGTACAAACGCTTAATGGTGTTGTTAGAAGGCGCACTTCTCACATTTTTTAATGTTTTAAAAGCACGTTGAGTTTTCACAATTGACTTCTTCTGTTGAATGTAAATTTCAACTACTTCAGAGCGCTCGCGTGGCGTGTATTGGTTTATGGTAAAAATCTGCTTGGACTGACGCTTCAAACGCGGTATGTCATAAAGCGATGTGACATCTCTGTCAAAAGTTATGGCGTTGCCAGATGGGTCCGTCGAACGTGAACAGATAGAACCGTTAGAAAATGTTGATAAAATCATCAGAAACTCGAACGCTAGGAGATAACGTTATATGGTGGCTATAGAAATATATGAACCTATATAGACAATAATCAATCAATCAAGCGATAAAACCCATTACGAAACCAAGTACCGAATTGTAAACCTTTCGGTTAGAAAATGTAGATTAAATCATCACAATACCTAATATCAGTTGACAGATTAAGTTCTTAAGTGGTACATGTCGGTCCAGGCTTCCGTATAGCGTCCATATAACTGTACATATCAATATTCGGTATTTTGATGATTTAAGCGACATTATTTACAAAATTTGGTTCAAATTTAAATATCTTAGAGGGTACTACAATCTGTGACAAAAAATACCTATGCAGGCCCACGTATTAGTATATCCCCCGTATAAAGCCAGTAGGCAGGTTAAGTTCGTAAATGGACCATGTCAGTCCAGGGTTTAGCTTATCCCCGACATTCGATATTTTAATGATTTTAGCGACATTATTTAACGGAATTGTTTTATATTTACCATTTGAAGATCTTAATAGGTACTACAACCTATGATAAAAAATTACTTATGCAGGTCCACGTCTTCGTAAAGCCCCCATAGAAGGGCACCTCCCTTTATGCAGAATTTGTATGATATTAGCGACAACTTTTACCGGAATTGTTTTAAATTTAGTATTTGAAGATCTTAAAACCCACTACATGCTACAGAATATTGTCCATGCAGGTTAACGAGTTCGTATAGGCCTCATACAACGCAAACTCCCTTTATTCATTATTCACTGGAATTGTTTGAAATAGACAGTGCATTAACCAAAAAAAAAAAACGAATATTGGTGTAACGTATACTATTTCAAATTCATTAATTCAACAAATTTCCTATGCTTAATTTTCTACAAATTCTTTGTGCAAATATCTGCGATCATTTCATTGATATTCATCAGCTCAATTTGTCCTCTATTGATTGTACCACTAATGCGGTGATACTTTGTATTGATGAGTTTACTGCGGTTGCGGAATACAGGGTAGTGTGCCAATTTCCAAGCACCTTGATTATAAACATGGATTACCACAGCTGTGTCTTCTGCACCTTCAAGTTCCTTTAAGAATGTTTTTAAATATATAAATTCTCGAGCAGCATTTGATATTGATATGTATTCCGCTTCCGTGCTGCTTAGTGCCACTACACTTCTTGGATTCCCATGAAATCCAACCACCTCCAGAATAAAATAAAAATTCTATACACGATTTTCTGTCAATGGAATTTCCTCCCCAATCCGCATAGCCGATTAATTATTTTTTCAAAATTTGAATTACATTTTCAAGTCACTTGTACTTGTTCTATGTGTGGGTTGCTATTCTTCTGTGGTCAGGGTATTATGTCTTTATGCATTTGTTTGTAACAGGCAAAAGGAAACGAGATAGACCCATAGTTCCTTTTGCTGATCTGCCCAGAATCACATTCTGAGTCGATTTATGCTTGTCCGTCCGTCTGTCCATGTATTTTTGTGAACAAAGTACAGTTCGCATTTATTACCCGATCCAATTCGCATTTAATATCCGATCCACATGAAATTTTGCACAAATCATTTGTTTGGCCCAAGGACGGACCCTTTTGAAATTGGAGATAATCGGTTAAAATTTAGATATAGCTCCCAAATATATCTTCGTCCGATTTGTCTTTTATTGTGCACCAAAAGTGTAATATCAGACCGAATAGTATGGAATTTTGCACATACAACCAAATTAGGCCTGAAAATAATAATGCCAAAATTGATCGAAATCGGTTCAGATATAGCTATAGCTGAAATATATATTGTTCATCCGATTTGTTATATTTGTTACCCACAGGCGTTACAACGATATTCAGGGAAATATGTGAAATACAGCACAGAAATATATTTGTCAAATTTTATCAAGATCGGTTCAGATTTGGATATAGCTCCCATATATATCAAATAATACAAGTCCGAATTTAAAAGATACAAATGCTTCGGCATATTTAGTCTTTTGAACTTTAAATTATAATTATAATCATAGCGTGTATGATTGAATTCTCCCATAAAAACTTTTAATTGTTATGTGGAGCTCTACTAAATTAGCAAAGTGGTTTGGGTATCATAAAGTCTGCCCCGCCCAACATTAAGACTTTCTTTACTGGTTTCACGGATTTGTCTGAAATTTACTATTTGTAGGTCATAGTGGGTCCTAGTTCGTGCGCCGAAATATTGTATGTATAGGTCCACGCTTTGGTATAGCCTCCATATAACGGCATCTTCCGATATTCGGTATTTTGATGGTTTTTGTCACATTTTATCGCGGATTTGTCTAAAAATTGGTATTTGTGGGTCATAATTGTTTCTAGCGTTTCCACTACCCTAAGGTGGGGATATTAAAAGTTCGGCCGGGCCGAACTTAATTTTTTTTACTTGTTATGATTTTTACGACATTATTCTCCGGAATTGTTTCAAGTTTCGTATTTGAAGTTCAAAATGGATACTACAGCAAAAGAGAGAAAATTGTCTGTGCAGGTCCAGGTCTTCGTATAGCCCCCATTACGGTACCTCTCGATATTTGGTATTTTGATGATTTCAGCGACATAATTCACCGGAATTGTTTCAAGTTTGGTATTTAAAATTCTTAATGGATACTACTATGATTTAAGCGTTATTATTCACCGGAGTAGTTTCAAATTAAGTATTTAGAGTTCGTCAGTGGAACTACAGTCTGGGACAGAAAATTCTCTACGCAGGTCCATGTCTTCGTATAGGCCCCATATGTCAGTGCCTCCCTATATTCGGTATTTTTACGATTTTAGGTACAACACTCACCGAAATAGTTTGAGATGTCGTATTTGAAGATCGTAATAGATGCTACAGCCTATGACAGATTATTGTCTTTGCAGGTCCAGGTCTTCGTATAGCTCCGATACAACGGTACCTCCCCATATACGGTATTTTGATGATTTTAGCTACATTATTTACCGTTTATATCAAGTTGCAGATTTGAATATGGCAATGGCTTATGACAAACCATGCCTATGTAGACCCCAGAATAACGGCTATATTCTTGTAAACCCCAATATAACGGCTATATTCTGTATTTTTAAGATTTTAACAGAATTTTGAACAGATTATATTTTTTGAAAATTTACAAATTCGTTCCAATTGGTGGAGGGTATTCAAAGTTCGGCCGGGCCGAACTTACTGCTTTTAACTTATATTTTTTTATTTATTCATTTTTTGTTTGACGATTCTATCCAAAATATTCAAGAGAATTGTTTCAAATTTAGTATGTAAGGATCGCAGTAGACACCATTCCTTGTAGAAGAAAATTTCCTTTATATTTTCCCATTTTTGTATTGCGCCTACATAAAGGTTATACACTCTTAAACGTTTTCGTATAGCCCCATATAATCGTACCTCCCGATATTCGACATTTTGATGACTAAACGCAAATTGTTTACAGAATTGCTTGAAATTTAAATTGGAGGTTCCTAATCAACATTATAATCAACATCAACTAAATTCTATATAATTTGGAAAATTATTTTTGTAACAAATTCCACCACACATTATTAATTTCATTGGAATCGTATATACATATCGTGTTTGGTGCATAAATTATATGAAGTCAACTGAAATATATATGGGAGCTATATCAAAAATTCAACGGAATCCTATATTACTTGACACATTTATTAATCATTCATTCCAAATTTCATTGGAATCAGACACATATATCGTGTTTGGAGCATCAAATATGTGAAATCGACCGAGAATATATCTAAACCAATTTAAATGAATTTCATTGGAATCTGACATATATACCTTGTTTAGTGCATAAAATACGTGAAATCAGCTGAAATATGTATGAGAGCGATATCCAATCCCTATGTTTAATTTTCTGCAAATTCTTTGTGCACATATCTGCGATCATTTTATCAGTATTCATCAGCTCAATTTGTCCTCTATTGATTGTATCACTAATGCGGTGATACTTTATATTCATGAGTTTACTGCGGTTGCGGAATACAGGGTAGTGTGCCAATTTCCATGCACCTTATTATAAACATGGATTACCACAGCTGTGTCTTCTGCACCTTCAAGTTTCTTTAACAATGTTTTTAAATATATAACTTCACGAGCAGCATTTGATATTGATATGTATTCCGCTTCAGTGCTGCTTAGTGCCACTATACTTCTTGGACTCCCATCTAATCAAACTACCTCCATAATAAAATAAAAATCCTGTACACAATTTTCTGTTTTTATTTTTTAAATTTAATAAATTTGAAATTCATTTTCAAGTCACTTGTATCAGCATGAACATGTTCTATGTGTGGGTTGCTTTTCTTCTGTGAAAGCTTTGCAACATCATGTAGAATGTCTTAGCGAGTTCTAATGGCTAAATACATAAGCTTTCCTATTAGTGATTGATACATTAGTATGTCTGTTCTTGAATATTCTTTCGTACATGCCACTTGATATCCTGGACCAAGCGGAACGGACGTTGCCTTGTATTTCTCCATATTATATTTCTTCAGCAAATACTTAATGTATTGTATATTACTCACATCTATATTTCCATTTTCTCCTTCTCCATGTATTTTCATTCCAAGAAAATGTTCAACAGGCCCATTTTCAGTTATGTCAATTTTTTTAGAATTTACTCGTTTTGCCTGTTAAATGATCGATTTGTTTGCACACCCAATGAGAATATCATCATATCCTTCAAATATGCGCTTACCACGTCGAGCTGATGCAAATGCAATTTGTTCTGTACTGCGATACTTAGGAACAGTCTTATATTTGAATGTCTTATAACTGGAGAAAAAATTTTCCTTATAATTCACTCCGTATTACTGAATACACATATTTGCATCCAATAGTTTTCTTTTCAGTCGGTAGATCAACTAATGATTATGTCTTATTTCTTTGTGCAAATATCTGCGATCATTTCATTGATATTCATCAGCTCAATTTGGCCTCTATTGATTGTACCACTAATGTGGTGATACTTTATAATGATGTTATATACAGGGTAGTGTGCCAATTTCCAAGCACCTTGATTATAAACATGGATTACCACAGCTGTGTCTTCTGCACCTTCAAGTTCCTTTAACAATGTTCTTAAATATATAACTTCTCGAGCAGCATTTGATATTGATATGTATTCCGCTTCTGTGCTGCTTAGTGCCACTACTTATTGGATTCCCATGAAATCAAACCACCTCCATAATAAAATTCTGTACACGATTTTCTGTCAATGGAATTTCCTCCCCAATACGCATAGCCGATTAATTATTTTTCTCCAAATTTGAATTTCATTTTCAAGTCACTTGTACCAGCATGAACATGTTCTATGTGTGGGTTGCTATTCTTCTGTGGTCAGGGTATTATGTCTTTGTGTATTTGTTTGTAACAGGCAAAAGGAAACGAGATAGACCCATAGTTCCTTTTGATGATCTGCATAGAATCACATTCTGAGTCGATTTATGTTCCGTCCGTCTGTCCATGTATTTTTGTGAACAAAGTACAGTTCGCATTTATTACCCGATCCAATTCGCATTTATTATCCGATCCACATGAAATTTTGCACAAATCATTTGCTTTGCCCAAGGACGGACCATTTTGAAATTGGAGATAATCGGTTAAAATTTAGATTTTAGAATTTGGCATTTACGACTGAATTGAGTCTAGAAGCTAGTATGTCAAATTTGGTGAAGATCGGTTCAGATATAGCTATAGCTTCCATATATATTGTTCATCCGATTTGTTATATTTGTTACCCACAACCGTAATATGCACTCCGTAACAACGATATTCAGGGAAATATATTAAATACAGCTCTGAAATATCTTTGCCATGTTTTATCGAGATCGGTTCAGATTTGGATATAGCTCCTATATATATTTTTATCCGATTTTAAATTATTTGTGCACCAAATGGGCAACATAAGTCCGAATTTAAAAGATTCAAATACTTCGATATATTTAGTCTTTTGAACTTTAAATTATAATTATAATCACAGGGTGTATGATTGAATGCTCCCATAAAAATTTTTAATTGTTATGCGGAGCTCTACTAAATTAGCAAAGTGGTGTAGGGTATCATAATGTCGGCCCCGCCCGACTTTAAGACTTTCTTTACTGGTTTTTACTTGTTATGATTTTAGCGACATTATTCTCCGGAATTGTTTCAAGTTTGGTATTTGAAGTTCAAAATGGATACTACAGCAAAAGAGAGAAAATTGTCTGTGCAGGTCCAGGTCTTCGTATAGCCCCCATATAACGGTACCTCCCCATATACGGTATTTTGATGATTTTAGCTACATTATTCACCGTTTATTTCAAGTTGCAAATTTGAATATGGCAATGGCTTATGACAAACAATACCTATGTAGACCCCAGAATAACGGCTATATTCTTATAGACCCCAATATAACGGCTATATTCTGTATTTTTAAGATTTTAACAGAATTTTTAACAAATTATCCTTTTTTGAAAATTTACAAATTCGTTCCAAATGGTGGAGGGTATTCAAAGATCGGCCGGGCCGTACTTACTGCTTTTTAACGTATTATACCCTCCACCAAGAAAAGTATGGAGGGTACATTAAGTTCGTCATTCCGTTTGTAACTCATCGAAATAATCATTTTAGACCCAACAAAGTATATATATTCTTGATCAGCGTAAAATTCTAAGACGATTTAGCCCTGTCCGTCCGTCTGTCCGTCTGTTATAATCACGCTACAGTCTAAACGAACTAAGATAGTAATAATATTGCAAAGATCTCTCTTTTGTCTGCAGGCAGGTCAAGTTCGAAGATGGGGTATATCGGCCCACGATATCGTATAGCCCCCATATAACGGTACCCCCGATATTCGGTATTTTGATTATGTTAGCCACATTTTGCAATGGAATTGTCTGAAAATCCACACAAGTAATTCCTTGTGGGTACTTTATACCTCGGTAGAGAATTATCTATATAGGTCCACGATATCGTAAAGCCCCTATATAACGGTACCCCCGATATTTGGTATTTTGATGATTTTATCAACATTTTTCAATGGGATTGTCTGAAATTCCACAAAAGGAGTCCCTTGTGGGCATTTTACCCCCTCAAAAAGAATTGTCTATATAGGTCCACGATATCGTATATAACTGTACCCCCCGATATTCGGTACTTTGATTATGTTAGCCACATTTTTCAACGGAATTGTCTGATAATCCACAAAAGGAGTTCTTTGTGAGTACTTTACTCCCTGAAAGAGAGTTGTCTGTATAGGTCCACGATATCGTATATCCCCCATATAACGGTACCCTCTGATATTCGGTATTTTGATGATTTCAGCCACATTTTTCAATTGAATTGTCTGAAATTTCACACAATGGGTTCTTTTTGAGCACTTTACCCCTTGACATAGAGTTCTCTATGTAGGTTAACGATATCGTATCGCCCCCATATAAAGGTACCCCCGTTATTCGGTATTTTGATGATTTTAGCTATATATTCCAATGGTATTTGTTTAGTTTTGTAGAAACTGTACATGTTGTGAAAATAGTTTGTGTGTTGAATGTTCTTCTTTAAACTCTATTCTTATTATGTAAATTAGTTAAATAAAGAAAGCACTTAAGATGCATGTGTTTTCCATATGCTATGTTTATGGTCGGTAATAAATAATGTAATAAATGTCACGGCCATAAGTAGAAGATAAGAAAGGGTCGATCACAAACTAGGCACGTTTCGTTTTCTCCCGCAACGTATTGTGTGCGTTAATGCACAGCGTGCATTAGTAAATAAAATGCATGTGTTAATGTATTACATGTAAGCTTTAGTGTTAAGAATATGTTGTAAATAAATTGAGTTCCCTTCCAGCCACGGAACGAGAAAGATCATCTCGCGGCGTTTTCTTTTTCTTTCGTTAGTTACATCGCTTTGTGATGAGGTTAGGAGTCGACCTCATCATTTGGTGACCCCGACGTGATAGTATCGCGTGTAGTTAGTGAAGTTATTCGATAGGCTATATTTTCAATGTCCGAGAAAATATTAGTTTATGCGAAATAAATGACGTGATAGGCGCGCATTTTCGTAGTAGTGAAGTGTGTTAGGCTTATTTGTTGTAGCGACGTAAAAGGTGCACTGTTGAAGCAAAGATAGTGTTAGATCTTTTAGTTGTGTAAAAGGAGACATGATAGGTAGCAGTGAAAGATTCTGTCGATCTATCTCTCCATATACTAACGCAATAGACGTGTAGAAAAAAGTGATTAGTTTATTCGTTTATTTTTTGAGTGCACATATATTTCGTCAATATGAATTTTGTAGACTTCATTCAACATCAAAGGATGTTGGGCGAGTATATTGTGTCACTTTGTTTAGAAATGGAAAAAATTGCTCTGGGTGGTGTAACTGAGGAAGCTAGGGAAAAATGTACCAAATTAGGTTGTTCCTTTACAGAAGCAAGAAAGGAATATTTAGATAACGAGAGGGAACTCCGTCGTATGAAAAAATTTACATACTCGGATTACATAGACGCCTTGGAAGTGTGCTATGCGACTAAAGATATCGAGAGAGTTCTAAACGGCATAGGTGTTTTTGTGCCCATAGAAATACCACGTTTAGATATCGATTATTTAGCTGAGGTGAACAGCTTAAGTTCATCGGAACAGTGTGGGAAAAATGCCTTACTGTTCCATTCACAGCCGCCAGACATTGGGATAACGGTTAAACTTATCGATGCTTTATTTGATTTTTGGGAGGAGATTAGAAGATGTAATTTCTCAAGAATAGAAAACATCAATAGAAAATTTCAAACATTATCGTCACAATACGTGCGGTACTTGGATGTAGTTGGAAAACAGGATGACTACACAAGTCATTACCATTTTCTTAGAATTTGTTACCGCATAGTGAGAAGTGGGAACATTTCCAGAATAGCACCTGAAAAGGTGAACATGAAGAAGCATGTTGATAATGTTAAAGGTAGTTTAGGGACTCATCAAAAGGTAGTTGAGGACTTAGAAGCTATCGAAAGAAAAAATGAAAACGATCGCCTTGATGTTCCGCGAGTCGAAGGAAAAATAACGAGAAAAATTAAAATTGAAGAAGGGCTGCCAACAAGGAATTTACAGGAACACAAGAATCCTGTATTTGCTCCTCCCGAAGAAGAAGAAAGTGAAACCCCGGCCAAGCATTGTATTAGCGATGGACATAAAGACAAGATTGATAATTTCCGTCTGGAACGTGCGAAATGGTTCAGAAGGCGTGGTGAACATAACAACATGAGTATAATTAAACGACGTATCCATGCAGTAGATGTGTCCTTGAATTATGTAAAGGATTTAATAATATCACAGGTATCTGGTCATCGCTGGCGGAGAGATCCAGACTTCAAGTGGTTGGTGGATGTCATGGGTGCAATTACCTAGTTTCAAGTAGTATACTTCGGAGTTTATTATTACGTTAGAAATTAATTATAAAATAAGATATAACTTTAGCACAGTTTTATTCAATTCTTAATATTAAGAAAATGATGTTTATTTTATATAATTTTTAAAAAAATTAGAATCGATCGATCTATGTTTGTTAAAAGATTAGGATCTTTTAAGGCCGGGAGTATGTTTAGTTTTGTAGAAACTGTACATGTTGTGAAAATAGTTTGTGTGTTGAATGTTCTTCTTTAAACTCTATTCTTATTATGCAAATTAGTTAAATAAAGAAAGCACTTAAGATGCATGTGTTTTCCATATGCTATGTTTATGGTCGGTAATAAATAATGTAATAAATGTCACGGCCATAAGTAGAAGATAAGAAAGGGTCGATCACAAACTAGGCACGTTTCGTTTTCTCCCGCAACGTATTGTGTGCGTTAATGCACAGCGTGCATTAGTAAATAAAATGCATGTGTTAATGTATTACATGTAAGCTTTAGTGTTAAGAATATGTTGTAAATAAATTGAGTTCCCTTCCAGCCACGGAACGAGAAAGATCATCTCGCGGCGTTTTCTTTTTCTTTCGTTAGTTACATCGCTTTGTGATGAGGTTAGGAGTCGACCTCATCAGTATTCTTTGAAAATCCACACAAGGATTTCTTTGTGAGCACTTTAACCCCTGAAAGGTATTTGTCTATATAGGTCCACAATATCGTATATCCTCCATATAACGGTACCCCCGATATTCGGGATTTTGATGATTTTAGCCACATTTCCCAATGGAATTATCTGAAAATCCACACAAGGAGTTCCTTGTGAGTACTTTACCCCCAGACATAGATTTGTCTATATAGGTCCACAATAGCGTATATCCCCCTTCCGATATTAGGTATTTTAATGATTTTAACAGAATTTCCAGTGGATTTTATTTTTTTGAATATTTTCTAATTCGTTCCAAATTGTGGAGGGTATTCAAAGTTCGACCCGGCCGAACTTGTTTTTTTTTTATTTATTCATTTTTTATTTATTCATTGCGCCCACATAGAGGTTATACACTCTTAAACGTTTTCGTATAGCCCCATATAATCGTACCTCCCGATATTCGGCATTTTGATGACTAAACGCAAATTGTTTACAGAATTGCTTGAAATTTAAATTGGATGTTCCTAATAACAAAAGCTATATCCGAAAATCAACTAAATTCTATATAATTTGGAAAGTATTTTTGTAACAAATTTCACCACACATTCTTAATTTCATTGGAATCGTATATACATATCATGTTTGGTGCATAAATTATATGAAGTCAAATGAAATATATATGGGAGCTATATCAAAAATTCAACGGAATCCTATATTACTTGACACATTTATTATTCATTCATTCCGAATTTCATTGGAATCAGACACATATATCGTACTTGGAACATCAAATATGTGAAATCGACCGAGAATATTTCTAAACCAATTTCAATATAATTGCAGAATTTAGCCAGTCATTGTGAATTTCATTGGAATCTGACATATATACCTTGTTTAGTGCATAAAATACGTGAAATCAGCCGAAATATGTATGAGAGCGATATCCAATCCCTGTGGTAATCATCGGCTCAATTTGTCCTCTATTGATTGTATCACTAATGCGGTGATACTTTATATTGATGAGTTTACTGCGGTTGCGGAATACAGGGTAGTTTGCCAATTTCCAAGCACCTTATTATAAACATGGATTACCACAGCTGTGTCTTCTGCACCTTCAAGTTTCTTTAACAATGTTTTTAAATATATAACTTCACGAGCAGCATTTGATATTGATATGTATTCCGCTTCAGTGCTGCTTAGTGCCACTATACTTCTGGACTCCCATCTAATCAAACTACCTCCATAATAAAATAAAAATCCTGTACACAATTTTCTGTTTTTATTTTATTAAATTTAATAAATTTGAAATTCATTTTCAAGTCACTTGTATCAGCATGAACATGTTCTATGTGTGGGTTGCTTTTCTTCTGTGAAAGATTTGCAACATCATGTAGAATGTCTTAGCGAGTTCTAATGGCTAAATACATAAGCTTTCCTATTAGTGATTGATACATTAGTATGTCTGTTCTTGAATATTCTTTCGTACATGCCACTTGATATCCTGGACCAAGCGGAACGGACGTTGCCTTGTATTTCTCCATATTATATTTCTTCAGCAAATACTTAATGTATTGTATATTACTC